TGTATAAAATTGAATTTAGCTTTTGATTTCGACTTTAAACTACATATATAATGTAAATTAGTACTACTATGTTTGTTATGTTGAACTAAACAATATTAACTTTATACGATTATGTACTCGTCCTACTAAATAACAATAGCTAGCATGATCGGAAAAGTTTGTTTGTAATTGGTCCCTCTAGAGAGTTTTGGTTCAAATCATTTTTGCGACTAGAATAATTTATTCAATTCGACACTATTATTCTATCTAAGTCATTCTCCATCAGCCTTCTTGTTTGAGATAAAATAAACCATTCAGCAAATAAACTTGTGGGTAATTTTCAGAGAAGAAAAATCTTGTTGAAATGGTCAATGAGAGAGACGTATATCACTGTCATGCAACTTCTTAATTAATTATGGATTTATCCTCCTCATTATTGTCGTTATGGACCACCTCTAGATGACTTTTGAATTTTGAAATTTTAATGCAAAAGCCGTCGATTTTCCTAGTTAGTCCTGGAAAACAAAACTTGGTTTGATCTTTCATGGGTTAAGAACTCAATTGGTCATATTTTGACAGTTCAGTCACCAAACTTTTTTGTTGCATAGATGATGATCATGCATATTAATTCTTTTAGTTAAGTCACAGTCTACGCATTTGTTCATTGATCTAACAGATTTACTAAAGTGTGGCAAACAGAGCTGATACTAGGGCGTTAAAACTCTAAAAAATCATCACGTTTCATCTATTCAAATTTAAGCTTAATGTTAGTCACACAATCATGAGAAATCGAATTAGGACAAACTGGAGCAATCTCTAGATTTCAATGCCATCGACGTCACAATATGCCTTTATGTGGAGAGCTCTAAGTGTTAAAGACATCGTGGATTGACACTATTCCAGGCCGAAGACACTAATCAGTGAGCGAAATGAAACATAACATGTAAGTTTGGTGACTAAACTGATACATTTTGAAAGTTTGGTGACTAATATAGAATATTCAACCCAGAATTTCTTTATTTTCATGATAGCAAAAAAATAAATTTTTATCAATAAAGTAGTCCTGAAATTAACTCGAGTTTGTATATCTGTGCCATACTATCGAAATAGCAGTACTGCATTCCTTCAAGTCTCCATGCTAGAGATCAGGGGCGGAGCCAGGATTTTAGTTCAGTGCGGGCAAAATTTTTTTGACGACGAATGTCGAGGTTTTGGTCGGGGATTTAATGNAACAATTGATTCAATTGAATTTTGATATGAATGGGTCTAAAACGGGTCATGACCTTGCATAATTGGGCTTCTCTCTCTATGCTAGATCGAAAATTGAGTTACTTGGTTAAACAAACAAAGAAACCTTAAAAAAAAATTTTTTTTTTTTTTTTGCCCATGCCCGCACTGGACGTAAGGTGGCTCCGCCCCTGCTAGAGATATACACTACTGTAATGAGCTCTTGGAAATGGCCTTTCCCTTTCATTTTTCTCAGCATTACAAACCTTGTTTTTCTTGTCAAATCCCAGTTCCCAACTCCAATTTTTTTCCATTACGAATGTCTAAACAATGGTAATTACACGAATAATAGCGCATACAAGACGAACCTTGATACCCTCCTTTCCTCAGTCTCGGCTAATATTGACACCAATGGATTCTACAACGCCTCCTTGGGAGAAAATCCCATTAGAGTCTACGCTATTGGGCTCTGTAGAGCATATCTTCAGCTTTATCAATGTCGTGAGTATATGGAAAATGCAACAGCCATGATCCTTAAATTTTGTCCTTATCAAAAGGAAGCAATTTTATGGCACGAATTTGGCATGATACGATACTCCAACAAGTCCATACTTGGGACTCTTGCATATTTCCCATATAAGGCGGGTTATAGTGTGGAAAGTGTCCCAAATCAAGACAAGTTTTACAAGGAGCTCAACATATTGTTGGATGCTCTTCGTAAACAGGCCGCTTATGGCAGCTCGCATAAGAAATTTGGTGCAGCCAATCGAGCTTACCCAGATTTTCGTACAATTTATGCATTTGAACAGTGCACACCTGATATAAGCCCAGAGGATTGTAGTGCTTGTTTAAAACAGTCTGCACTAATTATTCAAGATTGTTGTAGTGTGGCAAGAGGAGTTAGAATTCTTAGGCCTAGTTGCTATCTTCGTTTTGAAACCGATCCATTCTACAACGAGACTATGGTTAGAATACTCGAGCCTGTAACAGCACCGCCAGGTAAGTATTCAATATTTTTTGGTTTAGAAGGCGATCGTAACTATTTTACATAAGGTAAAAAAAACAGAAGCTGCGGCGCGGGGGTGATGATACAGGGGATTTGGGGGTGATGGGGAAGATTAATTGAATTTTCAATTTTATTTTCGTTTTATTTTTATATGTAATTAAATGCATATCTATTTTATTCCTCAAAAAGTAAGACGTGCAAATCATGTGCCTTTTACCTATCAGTTAGTCAGTTTCGTCCCCTGAATATCGACTTGCTACTCGTTGGGGGGGGGGGGCTTTAATCAATATTTCAGTTGAGA